AACCAAAAAGCAATACTCCTTTAACTTGGACAAAATTCATATGGGGGTTCCTCGTGCCTACCTAGGTACTAGAAAATCACTTGAGCTCTTCAACAGGTGAGAATTGGCGGTCTACAGGTAATCGCACGTATGACCTAGATATGGAATTTATCTACCTTGGTCCCTGAGCATTACCATCGCCGACAGGCACATATACACCCCTATCCTGGGAAATTGCTCCTGCTCTAGAGCCGGCCAATCCTACGGCGGCTTTCTTACCCTCACGCATCTCGATAACTCTCTTGGCGGCGGCCCAGCCCAGCAGGCCGATAGTACCCAAAATAAAGCCCCATACGATTATCTGATCCTTGCGGCTGTCGCGCTGGAAGCACATGGTCAGGACATCATTCTCCTCGGCGTCCTTGCAGATGGGGAGGTGCTGGGATAAGCAGAAGGCGCGCGTGCATTGGGTGCAAGAAGCGGAGGCGGCGCGGTCCTGGAGAGGTGGCGAGCGCAGCGCAGTTCTGGAGCTAGAGTCGCTGAAGGAGAGGGAGGAGGCGCTCTGAGGACCGAGCTGGATCAAGGTGCTGTTCTTGAAGCAGGTGCATTTACAGAATGTCGGCGCAGCTAGAAGTAACATAGACATTTGTCAGTTTCGCAGACCAAAGTAGGACATGGACGTACGGAGAGGAATAGGCGTGCTCACAAGCTGCGGTGACATAGGCAACAAGGACCCCTATGAGGAATAGTAGAGAGAGGTGAAGCCGCATCGTGTCGCTATCATGGGACGAATATCAATCGATTGGGTACCGCTGGAGCATGGCCAACGGGAGCAGGAGGGTGAGGGTGTTAGCATGTACGAGGACCAAGTGATGTTAGAAGGACAGGCGCCAGCATACTTGGGAGATATGCGTTCATGAGATATAGAAGTTGCATTTAGTTCATGGGATGATTTGGATGACGAAGATCCTTGTGACTGCTCATGTGGTACCTTAGGTACATAATATGTAGGTATCAAGGCATCAGATTATGTAATATGTAATAGTATGTAATAGTAGATGGGTAGATGCATAATGCATAACATCTTTTTAGTAGGTACATGCGTGTCGCGAACTCGCATTAAAAAAAGTTCGAGTGGGAGGTTAACAGGTTAACAGGTTAACCATTCTAATACCTAAGCTACGACTGCGAACCCACGAGACTACAACTCAACTTACCAATTAGTAAAAAATGCGACGGATACCGCGATTAAGACGGCCATCTGGTCTATCCACCTCGTCCTCCTCTCCTATCGCTCCTTTGGTCGGACAATGTCACCCTCAACCTACAGCTTCTCAGATTGCTCCGGCCTCGCATCGTCGGCCCGTCCAGGCAAGCTTACAAAATCAATTACTTGCACGATTCTACTCGGCCGATAGACAACCCACCCAGCAGAGCCTCAGCCGCGAGACTGAGGAAGCTCGCGGAGAGGAGCTTGGCGAGTTGGACGAAGAGGGCCTGGTGACTACAGAAGATCAGCGCTGGTACACATACGTTCCGCCCCCCCGGCGCAGCTATGCCGAGCGGTCAGATGAAGTCTCAGATCCTAGCTACGTTCCCGCCGTGACGGCAAGCGGCTTGCAAACCGTGGGTGGTCTGCAAAATTGGTGGGACAAACCGGACCATTGGTCCAATGACTTCGTGGCTTTCAAGCCATCCCAGAAGGTTCTCGATCCTGCTGTTATCGAAGTCTCCGTGCGACGAGCAGTCATAGAGGCATTCGCGCTAAGACAGGCGGGCCGTGAAGATGAGTTGGTGCGTGCTTGGCCAATAAGGGAGGAGGAACTTGATCGCCTCATGGAGGTAACCATTCATGTTGGAGAGAATGGCGCAGTGTCCCTCGCTGGGGATGTCTCTATTGTCCTAGAGACCTTAGACCGGAAAGAACAGCCTAGCATAACCGACGAGTCTACTACCGATGGATCATTGGAGAAGTTGGTGCTCTCGGCAGAGGAAGCCCAGAAGTACAAAGACGCTTGGGATCACGACTGGAAAGCGGCCTCTCTGTCGGACCCCCGTATCAAGTTCGCTGTACGTCTTGCTATATTCAAGATCCTACCCATCCACCATCCTTCTTGTTCCCAGCAAGGGGCACCGAACTAACGGTATCTATTAGGTTACGAAGCGTATTTTCCAGCTCACCGGCCAGCTCGTGCTCGACCACCAGCTATCAAGCATAACCGATGTGCGGTCCTTGCTGCGCGTGGTTCAAAAGCCGCCGAAACCGAAGACTGTGACCCAAGAGATCCAGGAGCGCCGCCAGGACTTAGTACAGTTACCAAACGTGTTCGTCGCGACAAAGCGCATTACGCGCGGCGACCGGGAGAAGGCTGTCGGAAGATTTAAACTCATAGAGGAGGAGCTGAAGAAGAGGGATCTTCCTCTGGTAGGACATGGGTTCACCAGGAAGAATAGAGAGCTGTCGCAGCTCAAGGGTGGAATATAGAGACAAGTCAGTGTACGATACGCACATACGGAGGGCCATGTATGATTTTGATATGTCGAGGTGCAGCAAACCCTTCACCCTTGTATATGCAGGTATCGCAATATATCAATTACGACGCTGAATAATATTCTCCCCTACGTATTCTATCATATTCCACATGGTTTGATAGCAGGGTCGGGCGCAAGCGACTGGAAAATGTACTCTACAAGCCCATCTATTATGACAATACACCTCCAAACACACACATACACACACACACACACACACACACACACACACACACACACGTATATATATATATATATATATACACCTATACATAGATACATGGGCAGTTACGGCAATTAGGAACTACCCCCCTGGGCGAGGCGGTGAGAATGGTCTGGTTATCTAAGTCTATTCCTCTAGTCGTATCATTGGTATAAACCTCAGCTGTCGTCGTATTTCGCTCGAGATTATACGGGACTCATTCCGTAAGGTTGACGTGCTCAACTGATTGTATCCGCTGTAGCTCCGAGTCCGAATGGTTCCGGCGGTCCTGCACGTCTCCGAGCTGCACTCTTCTCCTCGCATCGATGTACATCATATACTCTTGGTATGTATCTACACACTAGAATTAGTGAACCATCTATGGATGTCCTCGTATGGGTTTCCAGAGCGACTGGGGAAAGTTCAAGAGCTACCAGTCTATACATGTATTTGGGGGGTCGATGTATTAGAGGAGCGAGGGAATGTAACGTACGTGGTAAAACCTTGACGCTCTTTGGCACAGAAAAGGTGTAATTAAATTGGCCCGTCGGCTTCGCGATGCCATGCTCGACATCTCTAACCTTGCTATCTACTCTGACGTCTGCAACAACAAGCGTTAGTAACTTAGGTACTCTTAGCTCGTTCCCGATATGGAACATTTCCCCCCGGAACAGGTTAAGGAAAGACAAGGGGCATGATGGTACATACGTAGGCGTGTCACGGGGTTCTTCGAGTCCTTCTGCTGCGGCTCGCTCCCGTCTTCGTCCAGAAGGGGCGGGTCTGTATAGACAACAGTAGCCGTCAGGTACAGAACGCTGCCAACGGGAACCGGGTTGCGGAAGGTACAGGGGTCGGCGCTAATGAAGGTCGGGCGCGCATGTGCAAAACTCGCAGCGCAGCAGAAGGCTAACTCGAAGGTCTGCTTCAGGTGGAAGCCGCCGAAGATCATTGTTTGATGGCGGTTCCTGTACTGAGGTTGCATGATGGAAGCGGTGGACAACTGGGTCCTGGACATGGAAATTACGTTCGCCGGCTGACGGACACTGTTGTTTGGGTCGTGATATGCCACCTGCCTCAACCAAATCTTATGGATGAGAGCTGACTCGGGATCGTTGGGTTCCGTTTCGAGCAACGAGGTCTTGAGCTTCCTTTTCTTGTCCAAGGCTTTAGCCTCGCCAGCCTGAAAGATCTTCTCCTCCTCGGGGTTCGAACAAACCAGAGGCGGTATCTTGACGGGCTTCTTAGTGTTGGGATCCAAAGCCACCATGGTGAAGGTGCAAGTGAGCAGTACATCCTCGGGTCTGCTTGGTTCGCCCTCATCCCTCGCCCTGGCGACGTTGCAGGTGATTTCTACGCTACTCCTTCCGGACGCGTAGGTGACTTGTCCACTGTATTCGAGATCACATATCTCGGTTAGTGGATGGGCGATGGTGATGCGGTCGAGAGCTGCAGTCACCGTTGTAACGCCAGGACCCGTGTGTTTGTACACGATGATGCCCGACAACGCATCCAAGTCCATGAAGACTGTCCCAAGCCTAGAATAGAGCTATGTAGTCAGAGATGGCAGAAAATCTAGACGGAGGGGCGGGCCGAGGACCTTATATGACCGGAAGCGTTGATATATGTATCGCTAAGCCAGGGGTCCCGACCAAGAGGAAGGATAACCCGGTGGTAACTGTCGCTCATCTTCTTCGGACTCAAATCACGCTCTTGAGGCCTCACCTCGTCCGATGCTACATTCTTGTCTTCCTGCTGAAGCCTCCAGGCCTCTATCCAAGGCATCGGGAGACGGTTATCTGCGAGACCGCGAAATACCCCGTCTGTGCGGCGCACGGCCGTGCCGTGGAGACATCTCTTCGGATGAGAGCCGTAAAACCTAGCTTTGCTGAATGTAGCGCACGTATCCAAAGCATTAAAACGGGAGGTAAGGGTCGGCAGCCGTCGGATAGACATTTTTTGGGGGGGGAATGCCACAAACGGAGGCCTAGACGTTGATTACATGTAAGTAGAGTAGGTACATATCGATGCAGTACATAATACGCAATACGCAATACGCAATACGACGCGACCAAGTCCGATGCGGGGAATCGGAGAATCCTGGTTCATAGATTGCCGAACAGAACCACCAAAACGTCGCGCAATTACGGATAGCTCGCGCCAGGGTTTTAAATACGTAATCTATGAATTATTTTCACCAGATGCGGAATGTTAAAAATACCTTACATAGGGGTAGAGAAAGGTAGAAAAGTAGGAGTGGCAGCATGAAAAATTTATACCAAAAGTAACACGCCCCAGGCGGGGGTCGAACCCGCAACCTTGGGATTGCTAGTCATCATCCTTCAGAGGCGCTGAGAAGATTAGACCTTAAAAGTCCCACGCTCTAGCCAATTGAGCTACCAGGGCGGTTGAATTATTGAATGACCTTTCACTTGCTATCTGCTCTTATAAAGAAGACAAGTTTCTTGCAGGTAGTCGGCCCACTTTATAAGCAATTTCTATTTGAAACACTATTAAGTGCATCATCTGCATATATGCATATTGATTAGGTCTAGGTACTTTCAAGTGATGAACTAACATGCCAACCTGCTCCTTGCTATTCATGCATTGTTCTCTGGGCTGGCCTGCAGCAAGCTGTCATAACACAGGTGTCTATGTGCGGTCATAGCCTATAATAGCTTAGGTAGGCTACAATTACCGTGCAGATGGTGCTGTCGAGTCGAATAATATTGATATTCAAATGCTAAGGCCACTTATGCGATCCTGACCCCACACACGTGCTTTAACGGTTTAGCAAACCTTCTCACCAGCCACTAGACGCACAAACCAACCCCACGCCACCGCCACCGCCACCGCTAAAAATTGTAGGGTTTTCAAGCCCTTCATCAAATTTGCCGAAAAGTGCGGGTTGGGTCAAGCTTGCAGCCCTTGGGAATTTTTCGTGCCTCCAATCTGGAGAATTGAGACCTGCGATAGAACGACCATCCTTTCCACTCCCCAACTAATCCTTGATCGCAATCAGTCACAATGGTAAGCATCTATTCTCAATACTAATTGGCGGCAATGTCGTGATGTCCATTCGAGATTCTTTTCGAGAATATGGCGCTGACTCTCGAAACTTAGGCGATCAAGCACAACAACCAGATTCAGCACAACCGTATGTTCAACCGAAGCCATGTCCAAACGACGAATCGGGCGATTTCACCGCAAGCATGAGACGATTGATACTGACCAAGTATGCAGACTTCCGAAAGGATTGGCAGCGTCGGGTCCGAACCCACTTCGACCAGGTAAATCTTCACGATAGGGAATCGCGACTTAGAAGATATTCTGACTTGAGATGGGAAACTCTAGCCGACCCAGAAGATTCGTCGCCGCTCTCTGCGACGCGCGAAGGCTGCTGCTGTCGCTCCCCGACCCGTCGACAAGCTGAGACCGGTCGTTCGATGCCCGACTATCAAGTACAACCGCCGCGTTCGTGCTGGACGTGGTTTTACCCTTACTGAGCTGAAGGTACGTCCCACCCTGAGAATACTACCCGATCTGCGACGGGAGTGTCTGCCGTTTGATTATTGGCGATTCTTCCCCCAGCTGCTTCACCGTACCATAGCAAATTAGCATTTGGGTCGCACTTTCTGACACATGAGTAGGAAGCTGGCATCCCACGTCTTGTTGCACCCACCGTCGGTATCGCCGTCGACTACCGCCGACAGAACCTCAGCGAAGAGAGTCTCGCCGCCAATGTCGCCCGTCTCAAGGCCTACAAGGCTCGACTGATCGTCTTCCCCCGCAAGGGTGCCAAGCATCCCAAGGCTGGTGACAGCAAGGACATTGACCTCAGCAAGACCGAAACCGTTTCGACCCTCGGATCTACCCTCCCCATCATCCCCATCAGTGAGGGTATCAAAGAGGTCAAGAAGAGCGAGATGCCTAAGCCTATTGAGGGTGGTGCCTACGCGAAGCTCCGCAAGGCCCGAAGTGACGCGAGACTGCAGGGCATACGCGACAAGCGCGCCAGAGACAAGGCCGAGGCTGAGGCCAACAAGAAATAGATGGACGTCTGAATCCCAATGGGGTCTTCACGGGAGTACGGACGGCATTCTAAGGGTTCTGCTTTCGTTGTGTCGTTGGACGGTCATGGTAGGTTGGCTTGCGGTTTCTGTGTAGCCAGGAGAGAAAAGATAATCCTTCTCTCGCCACACAACCAAGGCCCAAGCATTATTGCATCTTCCGGTTTGCTCTTAGGTCTTTCTCAATGGAAAATGAATGGACATGACAAGACATGCTCTACGCGTCTTGAAAAATCGTGATATGAGACGTGAAATAGTAGCACATTATATGGTTAAACGACCCTGAAAAAATAGTGAGGCTATCTCTCTCAAGACCGGGAAAAAGGGGGTCCCGGGAGTTATGTAATCTATTGGTGGTTCAATATCTACCTACCTACCCAGTAGGTAGGTACTGGAACCCTTCTAGCAACCTAAAACCAGCTCGTTCAAACAGCCTATTGACCCAGGATAGGGTCACTGGTTTGGGATTTCTCCCTGCGTTTTCTCATTCCTATCACCAAGCACCAGCTCGCCGCCTGCCTTTAGTATCCGGCTGAACGCGCTCCTAGCCGAAGGGTTTAGCTTGTCAGGATATTGTTTCAGTAACTCGGCGATCAGCACAAGGCCGTTCTCCCGATCGACTTTAGCCATAGTTGCAATCTTCGCAAGGTCCACCTGCTGCGGCTCGAGCTGATCTAGGGCGCCGCTTATGGCCGAGAGGTCGTCAAGCCCAGCGGATGGATTGCTATTGCCCCCGTCTCGCGGTGTTTGCTTTTCGCCGGGTATTTTTTCGCCCGTAACTGCGCCTACAAGAATGCCTACTATTCGGGGCTGTTCATTTATAGCTTGTATCACCACGGCGGCTCCCTCGGCGGATCGCACCATTAGCGCCAGTACAAACCAGAGCTCCGACCGCAAGACAGGGAATTTAGCTTGTAGCCCGAGGTAGACCAATACGTCCGCGAGCGCGTGGTGTGTGCTGTAAAAGTCCTGGAGTAGGGACCGGGCTTCGGCCTCGGAGGACAAGAATGACGACGATGGTACTGCGGGAAGCAACGAAGAACCAACGGGCTTGTCGGAGTGTAGCACTCGGCAGACGTTGGCTACCGCGCGTGCTGTCTCCATCTTGGTGGGCTCCTGGTCCGCCTTCCGATGTAAGTCCATCAGCTGGCGCAGAAGCGTCCGATCGGGAGGCGAGGATAGAGAGTCTGAATTTGGGGAAGGGGCGCATACACGTCGCACAGTGGTAGGGCAGTTTACAAGGAGGAGGCGCGCAAGGGATACAGCGTCAAATTGGACCTGTGGTTGTGTGTCGAGGTCCCAGATACGGGGTAGGACATGATAATCCAGTAGCCCTGCGTGGCACAGGACGGGCTTGTTGCTCGCCGGGATAGACAGGTTCTTGAGGAAGCTGAGGACGGAATGTAGCAGCTGAGCATCCGTAGCCGATGAGTCGGAGGCTAGGATGGCGATCAGTGCTTTATGGACTGATATGTTCTGAACCAGAGCGACACACGGCGCGTCGGAGCGGGCGATGTTGCCCAGGGCCAAACATGCTGCGGCTTGGAGTGGCATTTGATTCGCAGGCGATGAGACCCAATGTAGCAGCAAGCTGGCCGGCCGACTATCGAGCGGGCACATCTCGGCAAACCGAGGATTGGCAGACAGATCTGCTAGGGTCTCTGTGAATGCCAACTGAAGCTGCTTAAGCTGAGCCTGATCCCCTGCATCGTCCGATTGGGGGAGGGAAGCGTCCTTGGCAGCTGTCTGGAAGGCTTCTAAGAAGAGTGAGATGGCACCAGGAGTCTCAAGGAAAACCTCCTGGAGTTGCTGGCTAGATAGGTAAGTTAATGCCGTAGATGATAGCCCCAGGAAAACGTCAGTTTCGTCTGACGAATCTGAGCTCAATGATATACTAGCACGTGCCTGGGTCAAGAGGCAGAATGGCGTTGCAAGGGGCACTAAGTCGGGTTCGAACTCTTGAAGCCCGTCAGTCCCAGTCACCTCAACCTCAAAAATGACTGAAGGGTGTAAATTCAAAGCGAGGATTGAATACCTTGAGTCGCCATAAGGCCAAATAAGTTGTAAACGAAACTGATGTACGGCGCCACCGCTTCCCGCAACCGAGGTTTACTGATAATATCGACTAAGTAGATAGTCAAACCGGCTTTATACGCTGCTGTCTGAGCGGGTTCTGGTCGACAAAACGTCAGAATGTGCATATTCTTAAGAGCGATTGCTCATCCTCACCATAATCAACACAGATGTTGAACAGGACTGGGACGGCGAACCGTACCAGGGTGTCGTGGCCCAGCATTGCGACGAGCCGGGGCAGGCAGCCCGACTCGACGACCCGTTGCCGATTCTCATCTATGCCTCGTCAGAACATGTGTAAATCAAGGAGAGACCAGAGATAAGGCACGCGGACCTTGGTCTGCGCAAGTATTGCCTATAACTCGGAGGGCATGGGCCGCAACTGCGACGTCCTGGTCATCCCCTTTAACTAGATTCAGAAATAAGTCTAGCAGGCCGGATTTTCCAAGTGGTATCCTCCATTGTCCTGGGAGAAGTTAGTTGGATCTCGTTATGTGTAAATGAAAGCTATGTAGATCTAGTAATGGCCGATAGGGAATCCGTTCAGACGAGGCTGGAGGTTTACCTTGTCGACTTCCATTCCCTATCTTCTCTACGAAGGCCTCGAGCTCTGTGGAATTCGTTACTTGCAGTTCTTTGACAGCGCCGTATATTTGTTTAAGTATATCAATTTTTGATTCCTCGTCCTCGGGGATGTTACGGAAGAGCTCTTCGACCTTGTCGGGCGTCATGAGTCCAAGTCTAGATCAAGATGCGATTTACTGATTCTACGGAATGGTTCGGTAGCGTAACGGGCAATCGAAAAACGAGATACGAGGTGCGATACATATATAAAAAATGAAGTGACAGCTCGAAGACCTTAAACAGGCGGAGTTGGTGCTTATTGATGCTGTGATGCTGTGATGCTGTGATGCTGATTGGATACCTGGGGCAAATATTACTGGTGAGGCTCTTTACCGTTTTATAGTGGGCTCTGCACTAGCATTTTACCTTTACCTCTAGGTACCTCAGCCCACCCTACCACCCTACCACCCTAGGTACCAACTAAACCTAGCGGGGTAGTAGGGTAGACCTCTCATCTATCATCTACCTACATCCCCCTAACTACCTCCTAGGTACCTACCCTAACAACTTCATTTCTCCTTCCATCTGTCCTGTACGCCGTCTCGGAGACACATTTCTATGTAATGACAGCCGACACGAAATTTCATCTTCCATACGATGTCGAGAAGATAAAAAACACGAAGGGTCTACGTTTGTTAT